GGACAATTAAGTTTACTCTAGAAAAAAATAATGGTAGTAGTCAAAATGCAGTTTGCGACAGTCCCTAAATTCGCCTCTTCATAAACTGCGGACTCTTCAGACACACTGGCCTTACAAACACTGACCACTACACTTCTTCACAGAGCTCAAGAAATCGCGTACAAAAGAACTAAATTAGTAACGGTAGAAAAAGATTCGCAGGAACTTAGCTAAAAAGTATCAGATTATGAGATGCTCCCCGTCGTCAACGCTTATGAAAGGCTAAATATATCAGAAAAGACCCTTCAAATTTGTCAGTCACGGTGATTAATGAGAGCAGCATCAAGGGAAAAATATAACTATGTCAACAAAGGCTGTTACAGTTACTGGGAGTTACACTTACTTTGAAAGTTTATGTCGGGTATCATGAAAATTGTTATTTACAGCCGCACTTAAATTTGTTGCTCTATTGATAAAAAATGCGAAGCATTTTAAAATTATTAAACAGCTACAACAAAAATGAATTCTATGTGATAAATTTAAAAAAAACCTTATCAAGAGGAAAAATGAGTGATAAGTTGTATTTCTTCTCTATTCCTTTAAAATTTATAGCAGAGTGGATCCTAGAAAATTGCTTAGCCAATGCAAACATTCATTTTAGATGATAGGCTATGAGACTGCACAAATATCTACTGAGTGGTTGGCCTACAGGTGGTGCATCTGCTATACTGGAAGAAAATCGAAAGAATGAAATCTCCTTAAATTTTTTGGTGCTTTGAACATACATAACCTGCTCTACGATACTTTTGTTGCCCAAGAAGTCATTATGAGAGGCTTAATTGAAGTGTAGAAACAAGATGAGGCCTCATGCACATCAGGCACACGATGAATAAAATATAAGAGTCAAACATTCCGCTACGTACCAAATTATACCGTGACAGCTGACTGCCAACTCAGGGCAGTTGAACCTATGGCTGCAGCTTCGAACTCAGAATCAAGAGATCCTGGGTTCGAGCCTCTTTCGGGATTACTCATTTTTCTTTAATCCACGTTTAATAAATGAGCACCGCCCTGGTTAATGAGTGGAAAAGAAACAGAAAAATAGTGTGTATTCTTGTCATACAGCTGCTGTCGATCCTGGTCTTGAAAAAAATACGGCACTTCTGGTTGATGGCATGGAAATCGAAATCATAAACTTTACAATTAACTAAAGGAAAGCAAAAACGCTAGAATTTACTCGATTTCCTGAGCATAAGGAATATTGACTTTCTAATGGTTGCAAACACGGCTGTTTTACCTTCCTTCGACATGGAACTATGTTATGGTATAATTAAACTATTGGAATAAAATGCCCCTAACCGCTATACTACTTGATTAACAAAAAACGTTTTGTAGAACGTTGTGTTCCCTCCTACGATTAAAAGAACATTGGTTCCTGTCGTAATGAAGGTTATTCGAGCAGGAAGCGACTGGAAAAGCGTAGATATTCCCAAAACCGTTTCTACAAAAGAAGAGTTTCAGTTCTTATCTGCAGTTGAAGAAGTCGAGGATTACTCCATAATTGAAGTAGCTTATTACAACGTATTTTAAAAATATTTTAAACTGATTAGAATAGGAGCATGAAACGCAGGAAAGTGGCAGAAAGCTTAACACTGCTGCTAAGGGAAAAAGAGAGCATTTAAAGCTGCAGATTTCTGAGGTACAACGGAAGAAAAAGAAGAAAGGACCGATAGCCCCGTTGCAATCAGCGAAGGATGATGCCGAAGGTTGTAGTCAGGGTCCTTCGTACGTAGCAAAAGTCAGTGCAGGTAAGTCATTCTTTTCCTAGATGTATTGGTATATCAACTTTTTGCCATTTTTGTTGCGCTGATTTATGGATCAGTAAGATTTGTAAGGATTTTTTTTCTCTCGAGGTAATACCGTGTGCCACACTTGATATTCAACCATCAGGCAATTTCATTTGAATCAGTATCTTTTTTCGGAATGCGACTCTTTTCATGTCATCTGTTTGATTCCATTCTAGCATTTTCGTGTTGGTTTCCTTTGTGAGAATTAGTCGCATACTTTTGTGGATGTGACGTAGTGCTTTGCTGAAAATTAATAGTCCACGTCATTTTGTGCAATAATTGGAAGCCTGTTCTTTTTTGATATATCTTCACATTTTTCTGATGTAGCATTTAATATACGATAACTAGAGATGGTTGATTGACTTTTCACTGCAGTATTTACAGGTTGATTTTGCTTTGTTTTCAATTATTCTTATGCAGTTTTTGTAATCAGTCTATCTTTGTTGTTGTAATCATCTTGTCAACCTGCGTGCATTGACTTAACGCCTCTCCTTCGACACGGTGTACTCTTTTCAACAATTTTTTGCAATCGAACACCGGCCACTGCGTCAGAAAAGGAGCAGTTCCCCTCCGAATGCAGATATGCCACTACCTTGCGCCTCATTGTTGTGTGCTGCCCTGCTCGTCGACGTTTGCCTGTACTTCGGTTCGCAGTTTGTGTAAATGATTTATGTTTAACAAGTTTGCCTTACAAGGTCAGGCTCCTTTTCTTAATCTTTACATCTGCTGAGGTCATCTGTTCCCGGAATAAAATAGAGATATTCCTTACGTGCTCCCTTACCATGCGCAGATGAAAACTTTATTGTATTCAGATGAACCTTCGTCTGGTCCTTCGATAGAACAACTTTATGCGGTGCACCACCTGATTTGACCAAGTCAGGGTACACTGATTTTGGTGCAAACAGTTGTACTATTTTCAGCCCAAATATTGGACAGGTTGTCACTGCATTGGAGCACGTATGTTCCTCCTGTTTGACAATAATTTAATGGTGTAGCCAATTGAGATGATGAAGCTGAGATTTAGATACATCGACTGATCAGCTTCTGATACTGTTTCGTTTCCTTATTTGCCTGCAGATCTGCTTCAGACATATGTGAGTTCCTCGGTTATTGACTTTACCTCAGCTTAAGCAAGATGCCGTTTCTCGTAGCGATGTTTCATATTGATTCAGTTGATGGGTAAACTCACTTCCCTCTTAATCGCTATGACAGTCTTATATGTATATACCAGTTAAAAAACTATTTGGTCGGATATCCTAGTATGCTTTGCGTCAAGAATGACACTTTCAGTCATATAACGTAACGCATTCTGTTCGGAAAGAGGGAGAAATGATGTTCAGTAGTAAAGAGGAAATCACAGTCCCTCTGCACTTGCTTAGTTTATATGCGACGACTCAATTCTTCGTCGACTTTAGTCGCGCACCCGGTTCCTGCGCACATCTGTTTCGAAATGGAAATGCTTAGATTTCTTATAGCGTTTCAAAATTTTTCGCATCATTAAGCGATGTTCTGAATCGATTGCAGCCTAAAGACCGACGAAAGTTTCGAGGCTACATTCTCTGCAGACTGTGGCGATCACGAATGCAATTCTGTGCTATACTCACAAAGGCTGAGGTGACGCTAGCACAAAATGACTGAAGTCTTACTATAGACCTCAAATCGGCGTTTTTTCCGTCCCTGATTTATTCTACCTGAAATTATGGTTATGTGTACTCATATGTATTCCCGTATGGCTATTAGCGCTGGATGTTGATCGAAAAAGATGCTGTCCTTCATACAAGCGGCAGAAATGAGGTTTCTTCGAACGACTATTGATGCGACGAGAACAGACATGCTTTCAAACACAGCAGCGCAAAATAAACTCGACTGTGGGCCGTGCTTTCTTTATCTCTAGAGATCATAATTGCAGTGATTTAAATACATAATGAGGTTATCACGGGAAAGACTCAACAAGGAAAGCTACGAGATAGACAATTCAAGGGCGGACAGCGAGAAACGTGGACCAAATAGCTGGATCGTACATAAGACTTGACACTGTTGCACCTTCGAAAACTCTGATCATTTACCTTACCTGTTTTGTTTTGCACCGGGTATTTTACCATATAAAGTACACAGGCGCATAACCGCACATCAGTTTTTTGATGGAACAATAATCTGTTCGAAAACCGTCGCATATACGTATATTGTATAAGTGGAAAATTCATAATGCCGGTTTTAATTTTGCTTTATATACGCCTACGGATGAGGTATATCCGCTGGTATTCGAGCAGGTTTTTGTTTGACCAAACAAAGTGGTTCGGTTTTGCGCACAGGTACTTCAGGGGTTAAAATGCCTTGTGGCCGTAATCTGCGTAACTGTCCCCTAGGCTGATGCTACTGAAGCAACTGTTTGTCACGACTACGTTTTGAGTGACATGGGATTAAAATAGCTTCTTTCAGAATTAATTGACATTCTTTGCATTCACGTTTTTTAAGAATGGCAGGAGCTGGGGCTGCCGGATGAGGTGCTGCATGCCGTGCAAGATCTGGGATTTGCGAAGCCGACGACAATTCAGAAGCTGTGCTTGCCATGCGCGATTCGCGACCGGTTGGACATCATCGGTGCTGCAGAAACCGTACGTTTTTCTTGGCAGCACTCACCCTTCGCCATTTCTTATTGTCTCTACAGTAATCGTTTGTAGGGAAGCGGTAAGACCCTTGCTTTCGCTATCCCAATCGTCGTTCGCCTGCTGGAGTTGGATCAGGCAGGCAAACTGGAGCACAGTGGACCGTCAGCCTTGATCCTTACTCCTACTCGTGAGCTGGCAGTGCAGATCAAGGATCACACAAAGGTTTTGGTCAAGTACACCACTTTGAAGGTATGGAATTAGGTTTTTTCTTTGAAGTCGTTTGGTTAACGCTTCTACACCATGAAGCTGATATGTGTTTTGGATCAGCAATATACTAGACCAGAATAGCGCGACCTTCCAAGGGAAATCTTAATTCTACTCGTCGATCCGACAAGCTATTTCCAGATGTTAGTATCGGCTTACTTGACCTAAATATGCATTTAAAAGTAGTGTCCAGGCTAAGGATGGTTTAAGTACCAATCCTAAGGATATGACTGGGATGCCCTTTATGATTTAGTTTTCAAAATAAGCATATTAAAATCTTTGCTTTTTACGGTCTACCTTCTAACGAAAGATTCTGAGTCTTGTTAGAGATGAGCTGCAAATTCGAGCGATACAATATTGATTCGTGTATATCCAGAGTGAAAGTGTATCGTAACTGTCCTTAGATTTGAAAGGCGACGGGCTACTGAGTGTTCAAACTGTAGTAGTACCCTGCTTTTAGCTGTTGGGTAGCTGTTCTCTTGGACTACTCTGGAAAAACTGAAGCAGGCTCTTGACAGAAGATTCCTCGCGCATCAAGTACGCTTCCGGACTGCCTGTTCTTGCCCTGTCACAATTTTTACAGTTGGTTAAGAATCAATGCCTGCAACTGCATTAACTTGCCTGTTTCCTCGACTGTAGGTCTTAATTTGATCCAAAGTATCATCCAACGATGTGAGAAATCTTAAAATTATATAGCATACCTCAGCACATGTGCTGTCCAAGTCAAACTAGAGCTTATTCAGTAGTTCGCTATGTGTTCGCCAGGGAGATGTGCTTTCGCTTCTGTTATTCAACGACTTTATTCTCTGAAAAATTGGTGACTCTGGTAATGACGAAGGTCTCATTCTAGAGAGAAGGCGCAGTTCACTTCAAGATATGGACTAGATAGGTTGCTGATTTTCAGTAGATAGATGATATTTCTCCTATGAATAGTACGGAAAGAAGGCTGCGTCACCTGACGACTTCCGTTTGCACCACAAATGCGAAAGTCCGGCTTCTTCCTTAATGCCAGAAGTTTACAACTTATGAGGAACCCATCCGGTGCAGGTGAGCATCACGTACGAGTCATATAAGTGAATGGAGGGCTTGAAGAAGCTGATCAATTTAAGCACCTCGAATCCACCGTTTCCAGCGATGGCACCATCTTGCCAGAGTTAGATAAGAGAATCGGCTTTGCATCAAGTGCTTTTTGTAACGTGGAAAATATTTGGCTTGATATATTAATAGCCGTTTACACAGCAGTCCACTTGTACGTTGCCTTAGTCAGGTGGATTTTGTTGTGCGGCATATATAGAGTTCTTCTAACAAAGCTGCAGTAACGGTGGCTGAACTGCCTGCAACATCGTTGGCCTCGACACGTAATGATGGTTAAATAGCAAGGCCACGTCAAAAATGACTGTATATTTCCTTAGTATAGGTGATTTCAGTAGGAGTCGTGATAAGGAAAATGAGGTTGGCTTTGTTAGACAAAGTGGTTTAGCAAACACCTTTTACTCTAGTCTATCAGGTTCTCTTGTGGGAGTCGTCGAAACACTGCTAACGTCGATCAGGATGCCATCATGCAACACGGAAAAACAAGTTAGAAATAGATCTGCTTTTCGGAAGGAGTATTTCCTTCTTCGTTAGGGTAAAACTTGTAAATTGCTGCGAAACAGCGGGCATGTAAACCCAGAGGCGTTCTAAGCAAAGGATCTCAACAGGCAGAAATAACAGAACATGTATCCATGGTATTGGGAAAGGTAGAAAAAATAACACGGTTGTTTTTGATTGCTCAGAATTTGAAACGTCAGTTGCAATAATGTTTCCCATACTTGTGTATTCACGCCGTTGTTTATATGATTCCGTTAATAGTGCTAACGGTCCTCTTTTGGTGGAGAACATTTTTCAGTGAAACCTTTATGCCTTGAAATGCAGTGTTAAAGTGATATTTTTCCACCTCGTAATGTAATTGTTTCATTATTAAAGAATGTTCTCTTGAAGAAGGTAAAATAAAAATGGATATATGAAAGAATGTACAATTTGAAGAACTAGGTTTGCATATTCTATGCCTTAGCTTCAGCTCCAGCTGTCTTCTAATAGCCACATAAATCTACCAAACTGCGGTTCGTTTGGTGGCAGACTGAGAATATTGAAATGGCCCCTGAAGCAGCTATGTCCGCTACCTGCAAAAGGTTTTCGAAAATGAATGACGCTGCCGTACTGTTTCACAGCATCTTGGATCCATAGTTGGCCATTTAAAGAGTGAAACTTTTTAACAGTCTTACTGCTAATCGCAATATCCGGGAAAATATCATAGATGGAAGAAAGTATAGTTCTTAATTATGGAGTAGCTTCACACGTTGCTGTTGTGTTGTCATATGGGGCAACATGGCTTGAACAAGAAAACTGACCAAGAGTTTGTGTTGTGTGACAATTAGAAATGGTGACTCTTCTGAGGTTAATATTAGTCCAGGTTTTTATTTAAACATGTTTCCTATGTTTTGTCTTTGCGTATTGCGCCATTTCAGTGCTTCTTTTGTTTTATGATACGTACATTCATTTCACATTTTTAACTTTTTTCGCGGAAAACGAATTCTTTGGCAATACCCTTCATTCACTGAATTATAATTATATTTTTCAGGATTTAGTCTGTTTTATGCTCCAATATTCAGTGTATCACAGTTTCAGCTATTCAATGAAATGTCGCATCATCGGATCACAATAGCCAATGATCTTTTCGTAACTACTTACATTTTTGATTCTTATTAGACCCATACGGTCTTCCAAAAATTAAAAAATCTAATCTCGTTATCGCTCCAATGCACGGAAATCTTTAGTAAAAGGCGAAAGATTTACGCGTAGAGTGCATTGGAACCGGAGGTAAATGATATTCGAATATTCTCATTATATATGAAAAGTTTGGACAGCAAATACGGGTTTGCTGCATTGTTTATGCGCCGTTACTCCGAAAACACCTCAGGAAGCCGTTCTTCAAAATCTGATCGAAACCGCACTTTCTTAAAGGTGTTTATATGGCAAGTTGAGATACAAAAATAAAATTGGTAATACAGTGGAATGATAGTTTACTGCTGTAACTGTTAATTGTCGCTAAAATAAATAAATGTAAAATAAACAGATAATCAGAAGATACCGTAGACTTTAGACGCTTGAGACTAAATTGTTTAATGCCCGGTTTCAACTTATCGAAAGACCATCTTTGACGTAAACCACCCTACGAGTTTGGTGATGTGACGTTAACTTTTTTATTTGATACCAGCGTTTCTGTCATTGTTTAAAGGCTTCTTGTTGCTGTTGTCCATCCTGTGCAAGTTCTTAGTTGCATGTTAAACAGTTTTGTAGCTGAGGGACTGCTTGGATTTGCGCCTTATCTGTACAAGGTTACAGTCCATAAGCATTCCTGTTTAACTGTTAATTCTGTTGAACAGGCAAAAAAACTCACGTCGCCGACAAACGGGTAGCAAGTCGTTGCTGGGCGAATAATAGCGACATTATTGCGCACTGGTTGGGGAGAGGGTGGTGACTTGCAAGGCTGGTAGCCGTGCTATTTGATGCATGCGCTTTATGGTGTGTATTGGAAATGAAAAATTACTATTTTATACTTCATCGTGTATATATATTCCGTTCAGCTTATGTATATTCTACTACTATTAACGAGTATATATCAATTACTTAATCGTTCTCACTCAAGAATGCATTCGTAATGGACGCCATTGAAGTACTGATGGAACTAACACGAGTCTGCTATATGAGCGTATTAACCGCAGCAGTGCTTAATTAAAAATAAAACTTTACCCTGGACAGAAGTACTTGTCCAGTAAAATGTATATTCAGTGGTAGTACAGTTTCCTTTAACATCTAATATGAATTCAGAATATTTGGCAAAAGACATCATATTCTGAAACAATTCATCTTTTGTTTTAGGATTTTACTTTTGTACCAAATCAGTCGAACTGCTGTACGTGTGTTTCTGTTTTTTCTTAGGTCGCGGCCGTGATCGGTGGTCTCTCTGTTCATAAGCAAGAAAGAATCTTGAAGAAGCACCCAGAAATTTTAATCGCTACGCCCGGCAGGCTGTGGTATTTTATCAATGGCGTAATATTTTTTGTACTTTTTGCTTTGTTCACAGGTTCCATACCTGTTATTTTAGGGTTCCAGTTATTTAGAACACTTGCAGAAGATTCGTTTTCTCGTCGTTGACGAGACGGACCGCATGCTGGAAAAGTGCCACTTTGCAGAGTTGGAAAAAATTCTGAATTACCTCAATGAGTAGGGTGGTCAAATTTGTAGTTTTTATTTTAGGGACCATATTTTATTTAAGTATTTTACGTACTGAAGTTTTGAAACATTTTGTGTAAATGTGGTGGGTGGACGGGGTTGACGCATTAGTTGGAACCTTTCACGGTTTTGCAGCATGTTCATTTAACTATCGGCGGCATACACTGTTCAGGTGACAGCGCGGCCGTCAGCATCTCCTGTATTTTTTTTGGCATACTTCGTTGAGTCTGCGTATGTCCAATACCGCGGTCACATTGTACGCGTACGTAATTTGTCTCATTCTCTCATTTTCATCAGCTACCTGATATATCAAAATAGTTTTTTTTATGATATCCGCAACTCGTGGACTTCTTGAGCATCATTTCACGTGGCCTCGGTCATCGATCCGGAATAAAAACATAATTTACTAGGTGTCTTTTGGAGAGTTTGATGGTAGAATCAGACAGCTGTTTGTTTTGGATTTCACGCAATGAAATTAGAGCTGCTGGTGTAAAGTGAGAAACAGATTTTTCTTTCTTTACACTGTGCATTTTCGCCGTTTCAGTGCGGTATTATATTTTTCAAAAAAACATTCTTCGCTTATTTTCTTGCTGAAAATGTTGTTCAATCTGAAAACGCCTTTTTATGTGGTCACTATCGTCTGTTTTCTCTGTAGCACATCAAAATTAATACTAGTTTTCTATGCTCATAGTCATGCCAAAGCGTGCGACAGTTGGGGTCGTTTCTGGCGCCTGCACTTTACGGCTGCATTTCTCCTAGTTCTTGTTCTATCGTCGTTCGCTGAGGCTTAATTAAGCTTATACAGCGAAGTAACATAGATACAGCATGTCTGATCAGTTTTGTATTTCGCCCTGATCAAGGTTTCAAAGAAATCACCAATTAACGCGCGTTTATATAGTTTCTATTTTTTATTAAGAATCATTACTGTTTTGAACGTTTTTATACCTTCATGTTTTTCAGACGTACAGAAATGCCTAGCGGCCCTAGACAGACGTTCGTATTTTCAGCGACCCTTACCTTCTGTCACGCTCCTCCCAGTAGGCTGCTACACAAGCCAGAATTTCATAAAGTCACAACGGACGATAAAATTGGTAAGAGTCGTTAAAAACCCAGCAGTATCCCATTGTTTGCATGCACCCTCTTCTGGGGACGAAAAACGCACTTAGCGCTAAGTTAATAATCGCTCATCTGCAGGTTTCTTTTGCACTTCGCTTCCCTGTGGTAATCTGTGGTGTTAATGGCGTATTTCTTCAGCAGAATTATTTCTACTTTCACTTCTTTTGCTGTTAACTAAAGTATGGCAAACCATACAGTTTCATAGTATAATGTTCAGTGCGTTTGGATGTACTTAAATTTGATATATTTTGTTGTTTTACTTTAGCGTCAATCGTGTCCATGATTGCGTTACGCAATAAACGACGGGTGATCGATGTTACGGTGAAGTTTGGCCTGGCTGAACATCTGAAGGAGGCACGCATCTGCTGCAGCTCCCTCGAAGATAAAGTAAAGTCATCCATATACCGAGGCAAGGAGAGAAACGAATCGTTGACAGAATGACTGTTTAGGACGCAGCTCTTTACTACGTTCTGCAGGGCTACCCGGGCCGCACCATCATCTTCACAAACAGCATCAACTGTGCTCGACGTCTGCGTAGTCTGCTTCAAAGTTTGCACTTCGCTCCGTATCTCCTCTTCTCTGCAATGAACCAAAAACACCGACTGACGAACCTCGAGAAGTTTACAAGTGAGTAAAGTTTTGTCTCTTTTGTTCACGGTTGCGTAAAATGGAACGACCTAGTTGGCTTGGGTTATTTAGGTTTGAGCACCATGCATTTACATCTTTCCCAATTTGACGATATTCAACTATTCCGCGTTACTTGATATATGCGTCAGAACGCGCGCAGCCCCCGCTCCCAGGGACAGGAATCTTCTTTTTAAATTTTTAACAGATTTCCACAGTTTCACCCTCAATCCATAAAGTTGACTACGTTCGAAATTATTTATAAATAGTTTTCCATTTTCGCCAGGAAAAGGTGGCATTGTCCATGCTGTTCAACGTTTTTCTCAGCTTTTTTCTTTGAAATAGTGTTAGCCCTGAAAAAGACGAAGGTCTTAGGTCGAAGGTTTTAGAGGAACAATGCACTTCAAGATATCCGGCTAGATATTATACTGACCTTGAGTACGCAGATGATATCGTCCTAATTAGTAATGCGGGCAGCAGGCTGTGTCACCAGACGGCTTTTATATGCAACACAGTTACAAAATCTCGCTCTTCATTAGCGTATGGAATTCAGAAGTTATGACTAACCCATGGTGTCGTGGTTGCAAAGTGCGTGACAGGTCGGCTTCGAACTCTGGAAGTGCCACGTTTTGAGCCGGCAGAAGGCAATCGTTTCATGATAACCACGAATAGCTTTGAGCAAGGAATTTACCGGACTTTGCATTAGACCGTGTTACTCAGCCGGTAGAGCGTCGGACCCGCAACCGAGGTCCCGGCTATAGGCACCTTTCTGTGGTAACAGGAGACTACACACTGTGCTTGCCAAATTAGTATTTTAGACTCTGCCTTAAAAATGCGTTCATGGCTGATGACATAGAAATGGAAATCAACTCCCCTCCCATCAGTTTCGTGAAAACAAGGGCAACTTATCGCCCATGTAAGCAGAACCGACATTGCAACGGGTAGAAACTTTTCTTCCCCTTACGAACCAACTCCCCACAGCTGCTGCATAACTAGAACAGGAGTTGAAGTGCTTCAGGGAGTTGACCACTTTAAGTATCTCGACTTCCCCATCTCTGACGACTGCACTATCCAGCCAGAGTTAATAGGAAAATCATCTTATCCTTGATTGCTTTTGGAAAACTGTCCGATATTTGGGCTCAAATATGACCAACCCTTAGAAAGACATAAAGAAAACATTGCTCCGTAGGGGAAAGATCGGGTTGACTGGTCATACATATCGGTTCCGACTGAGTTTATTTTTTTCTAATGCCAGACTGTGGGGCACTAGAATATACCACGTAAACGATGATTAGTCTTCTCAGATTGATTAGAAGAGTTTGAGAGAACTCCTGATTATTTGAATTTAACCGACAATTGTATTTCTGTCGATTCCATCGTTGTAGGTAAAATTTCATTAATCACAAAACGTTTGATAACTTTAACCAGATGTGGCAATTTCTTTTTCTTTGTAACAAACAGGTACTTCAAAATTTATCCTCGACAATTTGTCGTTTTTTTGGTAGAAGAAGAAAGCGCTTATTCGTTTGACAGCATGTTGACTGTAAGCATTGTATAACATTATGTACATAAAACAATGCAACGAACAAAAAATGAAACCAAGAAAAAACTAATTATGAAAAATATTATTTCTCATCATTATCGCTCACAAAGGCTACATAATTAAGTAACTTTTCGTTAACAACTTTCTTGTCTAATTTTTTTACAGTATGAAAATCCTTGTTTGAACTTTTAGACCATGACAAAGGTGTTCTAATAGCAACTGACGTCGCCGCGAGGGGACTGGACATCAAGAACATTCAGCATGTTGTTCATTACCAAGTTCCGCGAACATCTGAGGTGAGTCTCTCATATGTTGTTGTGTATCTGATTGACTGTGTCCGTAGGTTCCGTTTAAAATGCTATTTTAATAACCAGTCAAATATCAAACTTTCTAACTAATTGTCACAATAATAGAGCCTTGGTTAACATAGCTTTTGCTTTAATTGTTTATTCACTTATTTCCCCGCATCTGATGTCACATATCTTTATCTTTCTTGACTAATTGAACCGTGGGAGTTTCAGTGTACCAACTTCGATGGAAATGTCTTCAATTGACAACCTGTTATCACGAGACTGCTTACCTTCGCTCGTTCCTCTGGTTCAGTTTGCTACGTTCTTAACTATGGGTTCCTTTAGGCATCTTCTAGAC